TATCACCCAACTCCTGCATATTCCAGCCTTGTATTTTCTTAAATTTTTCATAATCTTTGGTTGAGTGGTCTAGTTCAAACACTTTATCTTCCAGTCTTGATACTCTGTTTTCCATTTCATTCATCCTATTGGTGAGACTTTCTTCTGTCATTTTTAGTTGGCTTACTGAGTGTTTCACTTGCTTCTTCTTTTCGGCCTGAGTATTCTTCAATATTTCTCTTTTCTGAATTCATTCAGAAGTTTATCCGATCTTCCTTTCAATTTCTTTGATTTTTGTTTTTGTGTTCTTTAAATTCACCGAATTCTTTTTATCATGTTTATAATTCTTCTTTTGAGTTCCATGTTCTGCATTATCTCTAGGGGGTTCTCACTGTACTCTTCTAGAGGACTATTGGTATTTGGTGGGGATATGTTATTTTGGTTCTTTATGTTATTATTTTTTTCTCTGTGATTTTGACATGTGACTTTCTTTTGTAGTTTCTGATTCTTGTGTGAGACTCAAGCCTTCACGTTTAGGTTTGCTTCTTTTTGTGAACTTTATGTGTCTTTGTGGTTTACTTTTTGGGCATGAAAAGCTGGTTTGGAGTGGCCAAATTGCTTTTTTTTCAGGAGTTCCCACAGAGGCCCAAGTCAGATGAGGATCAGATGTTCTCAGGCTTTCTCCTAAGGTCTGGATCCCTCCAGGATAGATTTTGGCCTCAGGAACTTGGGGGTCAGACTGGCCTGGGAGCCAAGCCCAGGAAAGATGCTGGTCTAGGGTAGCTGGTGTCTGTGCCACCCAGAGATGCAAAGGAAGATGGGGGTGGGAGGCAGCCCCAAGGACCCCTGGGGACTGCACTGAGGAACTCAATTGGTCTGCATGCAAAGGACCAGGAAAAGGAAAGGTCAGCCCCGGTGTCCAGGAAAGAGGCTGTTGGGTTCTGCAGACCCAGGGAGGCAGAGGGAGGTGAGGGCAGGGCCAGGCCCAGAGTGCCCCTGGGGTCCTGAGAAGGAACTGAGTTTCTCTGGATGCAAAGGATCAGGCATCCAGGATCAGTGGTGGTTCCCCAGGTGTCAGGGGCACCAAGACAAGGAATGTGACAAGACCTAGGCTAGGAGGAGAGACCAGCAGGGGAGATGAGAGGGTGAATGAGGCTGGGGGAGTCAAGGCACAGAGGGCTCAACCGACCTACCCCAGAGAGAGAGGCCTGCTGGTCAGAGAGAGGCCTCCGGGTCGTGCAGGCCCAGGGAAGCAGAGGGAGGTGAGGGTGGGGCCAGGCCCAGAAGCCGTGCTCCTGCGACCCAAGAAGGAACTGAGGTGCTCTGGATGCAAAGGATCAGGAAGCAGTGGTGGTTCCCCAGATGTCTGGGGCACCAAGACAAGGAATGGGACAGGATGCAGGCTAGGAGGAGAGACCAGCAGGGGGAGGTGGGAGGGTGAGTGAGGCTGGGGGAGTCAAGGCGCAGAGGGCACAATCGACTTACCTCAGAGAGAGAGGCCTGTGGATTGGAGAGAGCAGCTGATGGGCATTTTGATGATTCCATCTTTTGGGGTGATGATTAAAGCTGTCCTTAAGAATTTGTACATAAGTTTTGTTGTGCAGGTGTGTGTGTGTGTGTGTGTGTGTGTGTGTGTGTGTGTGTGTG